GAGGAGAGTGAAAGAGAAGAGAAGGAGGGTTGAAGTTGCTGGAAATTGCGGCTCCAGCCGTGCAGTTTAACATGCAATTAAAAGGACCAGCAATCATAATTTAATCCAGCTACTTTCTTTGGGATATGAGGTGCCAGCTTAATGATATTTGTAACCTTGTAATCCATGATGCCCACAAAGTGATTAGTGTTAAGGAGAGTGTTCTTCTTTAACCCCTTTGAGTTGGCTTCTGTATAAATTCTTCATTGGACTATTGCTTATTGTTTTTCATGATATTTTTACTACAAAGCTATAAGACCTTAGACCTAGTTGTCATTGCATTAGATTTATTATATATTTCCCACTTTTCTTTGACCTTCATGTCTACAGGGTATTGTTACTTGCCACCAGTGTTCTGGAGCTCGTGTTACTTGGGAAGAGTCAATTGATGAAAGACCATGGGAAAGAGCACGTTCCATGTAACATAAGAACAATTATCTGTTTTGCTACTATTATATTTTTGGCTGCTGTGCTAAGCCCCTCTTGTAAACACTTATATGCAATTATAGCTTTAGCTATTTCTCTCTCGATCACTTATCTTGCTTAAGATATGGCTATAGCTCATGCTGGTTAATTGTTCAGTTTTATGCTCTTCTTTTTGGTAGGATGTTTTAGCTAGAAGGCTATTATTTCAGGTAGGACATAATTATGTTTAATATGGTTGCACCAAAAAATAATAACTCCTCTAGTTTTTAGTCCTTTTGGTGAGAATAATGATTGTTACATTTAGTCAACATGCTTGAAAAACAGATCAAATATGTTGTTTATTTTGCTTCAATATTTAAGATTATGACTTTTAACTTGGGATGGTTATTAAAGTGGGTTGTTTTTCTCCCAGTTCCCCACTCAAAGTAAAGGAAGATGATGAAGTTGATAATTTAGACATAAAGCTGGATGTGAAGAAAAAATCAAAGCGGATTTACCAATCACCGTCTCCTGAAGTTGGATTAAAGATTAGTCGCTCATTAAAAGTTAGTTGGCTGCTTAAATTTGTTTGATTATGTTTACATGCATATATTTTGTTTTGATCCACCATCCTTGTAATTGGTGCACATGGACATTCCATGTGTTAGAATGCCACATGTACGCCCCAGGGGTGATATAGTTTGACTAGGACATAAGTTTAATTATCTTTGTTTTTTTTTTTTAAAGTAATTATCTTCACTTCGTGGGATGATCACAGGATCTCAATGCAAAAACTGGTCTGTTTAGCAAGAGAATGAAGATTATCCATCGTGATCCCATGCTTCATGCACAAAGAGTGGCTGCAATTAAGGTTTGAATATGATACATTCATTTCTCCCATCATAATTAAAAGACTTGAGCAAACTACTTGGATCACCTTCGAATTGTGTAGGAATTACACAGGTCACCCATTTATTTCCAAAATATAGTCTTTTGTCCATAGTTGTATTTTTTAATTAAAATACCCTCCATTAGCAATCAACGTACATATGCTGATATGTAACTTACTATACCTAGATATGCAAGGAAAGATAAAAAGATTAGATTTTACTAAGTTTAGCTCAGTATTTGGTTTTGGGTAGGTTCCTAGATGTATATAACGTACTGACAATTAGTCACTTAGATGTCTCTAAAGAGAAAGTACACAAACGTGAAACGTATATGTGGTCCTCATTTCATCTTTATATCCATAATTTTTTTTACTCTATTTTTCTCTGAATACGTTGCATGTATTCATTTTTGTGAATGTAAAGGATCTGAGCAAAGAGTATTAAAAGGCCTATCTTCAGCTTGCCTCTTTTGTTGTATGATAAATTTGCAGTGTTATGATGAAGCGATAACTTTTCATTTGCTTTAAGAATGTCAGAAACTACTTTTAACTAAGCTAGGCAATGAGAATTCTGAACTTTTTTAACACTTTTTTAACACATATTCCTGTCTTGTTAGCACCAAAATGAAAACTTCCGTTAAGAAATTAGCAAAATGTCATTGGTGTACCCTATGCCTTGGGAAGCATTAAAACTTTGGCATATTTGAATGTTTCTGCATTATTAGATGGGGGTCTCTCCTCTCGTACATTACATGGAGTCTAAAGAATGAATTGCACTGTTCATTACCTATGAAAAGTGCGACTTGTTATAAATTTTATAATTTACATTGACATTGGTAAATGATAATGCATTACTCTGTGATCACTGCAGAAATCCAAGGGAACTGATGCAGCTAGAAAGCGCACCTCTGAAACTATGAAAGCTTTCTTTAGTAACCCAGAAAATCGCCATAAAAGGAGCATTGCCATGAGAGGTCAATTTGATACCCCACCTGCTAGTTTGCCATTGTGTTAGCAGTTAAGAAGCATCACACCGACACAACATACACACCATGATGAAATATGTCAACCCAATATAACTCCAATGTAGAGGAAGAAAAGAAAATCAAAAACTGATTTTTGAACAAATTTAGCTCCAAATTGATCAATTATTATGACTTTGACCTTTTAGAATGAATATTTATGGATTTCAAGGTCAACCAGACTGGAAATATGATGAATAGCATGTTTAGGGTGACGTTTCACATTACCCCAGACCACATTTGCCCTCAGTGTCGCTTTTGGGCAAACCATGTTTGGAATGTGCTCCAAGTCAATCTGATTTTGCCAACTACTAACTAGATAAATCCACGTTAGTTCACTGTTTATGAACAATATGACTGTGTGTGTGTGTGTGTTTCGTGGTTGCAAGTTGCAGATGATAAGTGGTCTTGCTTGGTGTGGAGCAGGAGTGAATTTCTTCTGCCAAAACTGTGGAAGGGAAGGGCATAGGAGACACTACTGTCCAGAACTGAAGGGTAGTTTGGTGGATCGGCAATTCACGTGCCAGCTATGTGGGGAAAAAGGCCATAACAGAAGAACATGCAGCAAGTTAAGGATAGGCCATCGGAACGGCAGAACTGTAAAACTTCATCGCTGTAAAATATGTCGTCGATATGGCCATAATCGCAGGACCTGCCCTCAGTTAGTTGGTACATCCAAAACGACAGCTTCTCCAAGACCATACAAGTGTTGTTTGTGCCGCAAGAAGGGACATAATATCAGGACATGTCCTACAAGGGCTATTAGTGTTAAACAACATGCTCAAGATTAATAGCATGATCTTCTGCTACTTGAGCTATTTATTTTTTTTATTTTTTTGTGACAATTAATTAAGGTAAATATAGAGATACTTTTTGTTCAATTTTGAATTCAGATATTTTCACTTGTAAGTAAATTCTCAGGAAATCAGGTCTCCTTTTTTTTTTGCCGTCTCCAGCTTGATTGTTCTTACAGTCTTACTCATTTATCATTATTTTCTTTTAGTATGAAAGAATTTAAACATTGATTGCTTCAAATCCTGCGCAAATTAGCCTCTTTTGATTTTATTCGGATATGTGCGTAATTTGCTCCGAAGGAAAAGTTTATACTGTAAACTTTTCAAGAATGTAAACTTCAACATGATACCATAATAATACAACAAACACAATATATAGTTATATTTTACTGAACAAATGTTTAGGTGTTAGATGAAGCTTGAGAAATCAATCATCTAATATTATATTACTTTCAGTTCTTAATATAAAAATCAATTGAATAATTAAAAAGATTAGAAAAGTTAAAAACGTAATTTAATTATAGCATATATTATATGATTTTTTTGTACTGCTCAAAAGGTTCTAAGAACATAATGTTGGTCACAGATTGCATTGAGGTCATGGCAGGATGTGATAACTCATCCCTTCGACGGCATCGATTCGTCCACAAGGATTAGAGGAAGTCTGAAGCAAAACTCACATCCCTTCAAGGACTAGTTGAGTAGATAGTTTAGCAGAACCGTCACATATTGTCATTCAAGCACAGGCCATCCGGAGAATGGAAAATGTCCTCTCTTTTTTAATAAACTGAAAAATGTCTTTTCTTGAGTTCATGAGTTGCAAGAATGGAAAATGTCCTCTCTTTTTTGATAAACTGAAAAATGTCTTTTCTTGAGTTCATGAGTTGCAAGAATTTCATCAACTGCATGTGATAGTGCACTTTAATCGTACGATGCCACGACGTCGTTTGACCGTTCGGTAGCCACTGTTCCTCACACCAAAAAGGGGATTCGAACGTGGCTTGAGAAATGTGAATCAAGAAACTATGGGCAGAAGGAGACTCTCCAGCTGCCAGCACACTCTCATCAACAAAGACGCCTCAACACGGCTCGATTAAGAAATAAATCTTGTGGGAAGTAGCACTTATAACAGTCCCATAATTTTCAACAAATTCGCATTACCAAATAGACCACCTATAACCTAACGCCCCAAAGCTGATATCTACGAAGTCAATAATCAATAAATAAATAATGTTTCCTATCTTAATTATAAGAACTAATTGACTAATTTAAAAAAATTAAAAAAAAAATTAAATTAATTATTTGTCAAAAATAAGTGTCGTTTTTTTTAAAATATATTTACTAATCAAGTATATTAGTTAAGAACCACCATTGTTAGAAAAATTAATTTAAAAAAAATATTTAAATATAATAGGCAAAATATATTATGATTTTATATTTAGAACCAAAATAAAAATCAAATAAAATTTTATATTAAAGACAGGAGGTAGTACCCCTTTAGATTCTGTCACAAGACACTTTCTAAAAGAATTCTTTTAGCCCATAATACTCTGAAAAGATAATTAATGCGTATTTATCAAGTTTGTCAAGATAATTAATGCTTAAATTTGGATCTCTATTTTTTGCCTATCATTGAAAACTTCATTAATAGAAGTACAGTTCAGAAATTTTAAGAAGAATTACAATCAAATCCCAAGAAAGAAATAATTACTAAAAAAACTGAGTGAAGAATGACAACCTCTAGAACTTGTTTTGTAATTTTTTTCCTTGACCTCATTGTAATACTCCCAAAATTTTATCAATTTAAAGCAAATTTAATGAGTTCAATGTCATTCACAGGCTAACGTGAAGTAAGTGAAACAATGAGCTTTAAATATTTACCAAGTGAATAAGTAATACATCATCACAATCATACAAACTTTACAGGCAGGAACTGGAGTATATCATATTACAAATATAGACTTTCTTCCTCACTCCACACTCCACAGAAACAAATACATACAAATAAACCCCAATTGTCTATCCCTCCCTAACCACCAAGGGCATTAGGATAAGCAATTAATTGTAAATAGAAGAGTAAATTGTCATCTTTATCCTTGAACAATGACTAATTTTTCAATTCAATCCTCTAAAATGTAACCCCTGTGAGTTCAATCTATCAAGTTTTCCATCTTATGTTCTGGGAGACCAGGCTGGAAGTCTAGTCTTCCATGGTTACATCGTAGGGGACCAAAATGAAAAGTTGGAAATTTTCTAGGGGCAAAAACAACAAGTTACTCTAAATAAAATATGCCAACCACCGACACCAAACAAATTAATTTCAGCCAAACGAACAAATATAACCCTGTATAAAAAAAGAAAAAGAATAAATCCCTTTCCCCATCTACCCAATTTTCATGTTAAATGAAATACATAGTAGAGCCCTTATTCTTCTTCCCCTTGACACAGTCCATAATAATCAATAGTAATTCACAGACCTTACAGGTTCTCCTTCCAATGAAGGCTTTTTTACTCAGAGATGGGTTTGGTCTTGGACCTGTACAGCAATTTCTTCTTCTTTGATGTCTGGTTATCAATGGTGATCACAACCTTGCCAGGTTCCCCCGCTTTAAAGTCATTAGAGATTATGGTTTCATCTACAACCCCAATTTTCCGGCTCTTCTGTACTATCACAGTGTATCTATCTTCAGCACTCGGCACAAATTCAGCACCATAGCTCACATCCCAACCCACAACTCTCAGTTCCCAAACCAGATGGCACGGCTGCATATCCAACAATTACAAATCATAAACCCAGTATATGCACACGAGGAAATTTTTCTAAGACAACTATACTGAGACTAAATTATATTTCATCTGATTCAGTTTGGGATTGAATTCAGTTAGTCTTCCTTTGATTTGAAGCACCTCGTTCAAATTGTTCCAAGGTCTTATTGTATTTCCACATAACTATTACGTGATGTTTTATGCATTTAAATATTAGAAGTTTTACTTACATTATGACCAAATTCATAGACTCTTTTAGCAATCACCACTTAACTTTTAAAACTTCAAGAGCGACCCGAAAAAATGTCAATTCAGTTAATGAAATAACAAATTAATGATAATGTGTTGTTTCGATATATTCATAAGTTTAACAGGATTTAGTGTCAACGTGTAAAAGTTGACGGTGTATGTGCCTAATCAAAAAATCAAGAAAGCCATGTATCATTTAGCTTAAAATAAACTATTGTTTTTAACATTCATATCTAAATAATAATTTCATAAGCTACATAGAATGTGACCTAGCCTACAATCAAGTTATATGTAAAACGCCCTGGGATGATGAAACGACAATTGAACAAACCACAATATGAAAGAAATCTAAGGAAAATTGTCATTTATAAGCTTAAATATAAAATACATAAAGCAATTCACTCTTCCTCACCTCAGAAGCTGGGAATTCAATAATATGTTTTGTTGATGGTTTAATAGTAAACTCAGTAACAGAGTCAGCAGTCGTGAATTCATAGTCACCCTCCCTGCTCAATCCACCATACTGGACAGGCACATGCTCAGGAGCTATATATCTATTTAACAGAAAAGGTCAAACAGGCATCAGATTTTGATGCATTTGAATTTAAGCGATAAGCCAAAGAAAATAGTATTCCTGATAACAGAGATAAGAAGGGAAATAAAGGGCCGAAATGCATAGACCAATGACTGGCAAACAAACAAAAGATAAATAGGGTCAAGCATAAGAAAGGTCCAATAAATGATCACACAATGAAAAGGGAAAGGGAAAGGAAAAGAAGGAATCACATACTTGAAAAGGGTTTCCGCAGATTTGGACGGACCAGCAAATACAAATTTGCTTTTGGTCCTCTGAGTCAGGAATGGACTTATCATCCTTGAAAAGGCCAGGTACCACCATGGAACATTGATAAACACCTAAAGAAATCAAAACTCAGAGATCAGACGTCTATCAAATAAAGTCAAAGCTACCAAACATCTCGCAAATATATACATATACATACACGTGTGTGTATGTGTGAGTGTTTGAAAAATTAAAGGTAACAGCATGCAGTAGGGATTTAATAAGAACCTGCTTGGCCAAGAACTCAGGATAGTTATCCTGAAGTAATTGAAGGGCCTGATTGGTTGCTTGCCGGAGGTCCCTCTTACCCAAGCCAGGTGAATTCCTAAGATCATTGACCTGGACAATTGTAGAAATACCAGTAGGAGCGAAGTCAAATTTTCTAACGCTCTTCTCCAAGAACTGAATCCTCCATCTGATGAACTTCAGGCGCTTCTCCTCATCAGAAAACGTGTTCTGATACAACTCCTTGTTCTCGAACTCACCAAACACGTTGTAGCAAACTGGATGGCCTTCTTTGTCATACCCATGAGTGAACACCACCTTGTCCCAGTCGTTCCCGAGATCTTCCTCAACAAGCGCATCGATCCCGAATTCCTTCCGCCAACGAACGGTGTTCTTGATCATCGTGAAGGCATCCTTCACCTTGAAATCCCTTGCTCTCAAGAATTTCAGGAGTATCACATCACTCCTCTCATCGGCAAGCAGGGGAATTCCCCAGATGGAAACCTCCTCCGGTGGAGGTGGAGGCGGCGCAGGGACCTCCTCCACTTTTGCTTCTGGCACTGCCGTATCGGATGCCGAAGCAGCGGCCTCACCATCCTTAGTTGCAGGTGCTGCCTCCTCAGAGACTGAAACTATGGTCTCTTTGATTGTTTCCACCGTCTTAGAATCATCTTGTACTTCAGTAGAAACTTTCTCAACCACCTCCGTGGCAACAGCAGCTTCAGGTGCAGGCTTCTCCTCCTCCTTTTTCTCTTCAGTGACAGTTTCAACCACCGGAGTTTCAGATGCAGGCTTCTGCTCTTCCTTTTTCTCTTCAGAAACTGTTTCAGCTTCAACCTTGGCTGGCTCTTCAACAGCAGCAACGTCCTTAGGAGGCTCTGCTTCAGCTTTTCCCTCAGCTGCCGCCGGTTTCTCTTCCTCCTTCTTCTCCTCCGTCGAAGCCACCACTTCCGGGGCCTTCTTCTCTTCCTCCTCCTTGGCTGCCGGCGGAGGAGGAGGAGCAGTGAACTCGTGCTTGTTCAGTGCTTCTTGAACAAGCTGTTTCAGCTCATCAAGGGCCTTCTTCTGAGCATCAGGGAGGTCGGCAACCACATAGGTCTCCTCCTTGAAAGAAACAGACTGGGTGATCTTGCGGTCTTCTATCGGGGCCTTAGGCTTCTCCTCAACAACTTCCTCAGTGGGGCCCGCAGGCTTCGCTTCCTCCTTTTTCTCGCTCTCAGCGATGGGCTTCTCAGGCAGCGCTTCGATGACCGGCTTCTCGGGCTCTTTCTCTTTCCCTTTCTCTTCAACAACAGATTTCTCGGCCACTGCCGCCGCCACTTCCTCAGCTGCTTTCTGGGGTTCTTCAGCCATGTCGAAGAGAGATGATCAAAGGAAGAACAGATGGAAGTTATTACTGGTTAGAGAAATAGAAAGATACAGAGGGGGGGGGGGGGGAGAGAAGGATTGAGCCTTCGTGCTTATTGTTGATTCTTGTGAGAGAAAGTGAAGAAAAGGGCTTAAAAGAGTTTCAGGAGAGAGACAGGCAGAGAGAAGGGGAATAGGAAGGGATGGTGGTGGGTGGGTGTGTATGATGAGAAGGACCAGACTGTAAGGACGGGTATGCCAGCTGTAATATACAAAAACACTTTGTTAGTGGGACCCACTCTACCTCTAAACCGCTATCCTTTGTTTGATTTTCATATATTCTGACTCACCCCACCTCAACCCAAACATCCCCTTGGAATAATTACCCTTTTCTGCCCCTTCTTTCCCCCTGGAATAAAATATACGTTCAAATTTGAATTTAAAATTATCAAGTCATTTATTGCATTTTCATTCGCCACTAAACGCATTAATATCTTCAATATTTTATTTCTAATTAATACTTATATAATTGTAATATCTATAATATGTTGTTATTATTATTACATTATTTCTCCTATTTAAAATGTAATAAATTGAATTCTTATTTTTATGTTATTAGGCACAATATATTATTCATGAAATTAGGTGTTATAAAATAGAATTTTTGAGAAATTTTATACATATATGTATATGTTCAAATTGATCTGTTGGCCTAGAAAGAACAATGTTTCTTCGTTCAAAATCCTGCATTTTGCATCTAAAATTTAAATTATTTTCCTATAACAAGTATCTGTCTATGGTATCAAAATTTTAATGAGTTATATTATTAAAGATTCATGAAAAATGTATTCCGTGAGTCAAATAACATATTCCATGTAATGCATGAAATCTATATTAGTTACAATTTCATTTCTTGCTAAATTGATTTTAGAGTAATGTTTGAGTATAATATTAATAATCTCTTTTAGTATTTATAAACTTATTATATTAAATTCTATTTTTTTAATTTATTCTCAAAATAATATCAATTTTAGTTCATCTTCTAAAAATGTTTCATGAGAAGTAAATGATAAGATTAGTTAAGTTTGATTATTCTTAATTAATTGATTGATACAAAAAAAATTTTAGTTAGCACAAAAAGGGTAAAGGTGCATAAGTGCTTGCAAGACCCTGTTCTTTTTTATAATGCATCATATTCTTGGGGTGTATCTAGCACCATAAAGATTATAATGCTAGATATAACCATACAAAAAAAGTAACATCAGGGTAATGATCATATCCAAAAAAAAGATCAAGATACAAGATGTATCTGTAAAATAGGATTCCACTACTGAATGCATTTTTATTCTGAAAAACAAATATGTTTTTTAATAAGAAGATGCTTAGGCCAAGTTTCTTATATCAAATTATCTATTACATTAAATTTTTAAGTTTTTCAATCACACATAGTCATATATAATTAGAAAATTTGAGGTAAGGGATATAAGAAATTTCGTGTAAGTATTTTGCTTTTTTAATATGCCTTCCATGATATCACTCATCAATGATTTAATGCAAAACATTAGACCACGATCTAATTTTATAATAATAAAATAAAATAATAATATAAATCGTAAGTTTATATCACAAAAAAATAATACTATATTTTTTCTAATCGTATAAATTAAAAATTGGCTCCTATGAATCAACCATTTTTCGATAAAATAATCAGATAAAAATTTACATCTAAAACTCATTTCTAATATATAGGTCAATGTAAACTGTATTATTCATAATTTATAAATAACATATGGCACTAGTATTATCTTACATAACTAACATTTACTTTTATTTTAATATTTTTATAGGATTCTCATGCTGGACAAGGAAATGATTAGTTTTATCTGATAAAAGTGATTAAGTAATTTAGTGAAAATAAAATGGTGTGTTACAATAATAATATATAATATAGATTAATTAAAAGAGATAATCAAATCAAATCCAACAAATGATTAATAATTATTTCTGGCCGGCCTTTGCTTTCACAAACACAACGGTCAAGCAAGCTAAGATTGGAATAAAACGAGAAAGGAATAAACGAATGATTGACAATCTTAGATGTGAACACCATCAGCACCAACAACAACAACGTCTCCGGATGACAGAGCTGTCACGGAGAATAAAATCACAGGAACCCGTTGGTACTTGTAGTGGACCACCTCGTACGTCGCTAATGTGAAAGCATATTGCCTAACAATTATTTCTTTCCCTCACAGCCTGTCACGGGATCATAATCTTCTCGACCGTATCGGTAACCCCTCAACCGGCAAATGGTAAGAAACCAGATCAGGGGTATTATTTTTTCTGAATGGAGAAAAGTGATATTATTTATGTAATACAATTACCTCACAATTTCCCTTTTCTTGTTTCGCAGTTTAAAAATCATCAGTCAATTATGTTTCTAATATAAAAATTAATTTGACTTTTAATTTAATTTTAAATATAAGATCTAATTTATTTTATCTTTTATATTTATTTATTTATTTTAAAATAGTCCTTATAGAAGTTATATATATTAAATGTTCAATCAAATGGTAATTTTAGTTAATGTTACCTCCGGTCTTTAGTATAAAAGCTATTTTGACTTTCAATTTTATCTTAAATATAATATCCCAATTTACTTTATCTTTTATATTTATCAATTTTTCTCAATGTAGTCCTTATAATAGTTACACATGTTAAAAGTTTTGTCAAATGGCAATTTAAAGTAATACATACGATTAATAAGAGTATTTTAAGAAAGATAACCCATATTTATTACAAGTAACTAACTTAACAAACTTTCTTAATTTACTCAAATTAGTCAATTAGCTCTTATATAAACGACTGGAGGTAATATATGATTAGCAAGGATATTTTAGGAAAAACAACACTTAATTATTACGAATAACTAACTCAATAAATTTTCTTAATCTACTCAAATTAGTCAATTATATCTTATATTAAGAATCAAAAGTGATATATTTTTTTTCCATCAAAATGTAAAAACACCACACCCTTCACAAGGTGATTGATATCTCTTCGATATCTTATCTTAAATATAAGAGTTAGATAGAGAATCAATTATATAAGATCTGTTTTGCAATGTACTTAGTCTTGTATTTATGATTGGGCGAGTACCTCAATCTCTTTTGTTTCTAATATTTATTTATTTTGCCCTCAAGTAATCTTTATGGTGATTGCACATATTAATAAGTTATCATCAATGGTTAATTCAAACACATATGATTAATTAGGATATTCTAGAAAAAGTTACATATGTTTATTATAAATAACTAACTTAACTAATTTTTTTAATATCACAAATTAGTTATCTAGCTCTTCTAATAAGAATCTGAGGTAGTATAGGTTTACAATTCTCTTTTTTTCTGATAATGAAAAGAAAAAGATGTTACAAAGTCAATAATACGAATAGGCTTAGTATTCTCTTATAGATTTTTTTAACTCCAACACTAGTTTGGGTTTTTTTTTTAAAACCAGGACACTGTTTTTTTGTTGAAATAAGGTTTCAAGAACTAAAATCACATATTACCTCTAGTCCTTAATATAAAACCCAATTAACTAATTTGAAGATATTAAAAAAATTAATTAAGTTAGTTATTAATAATACATAGGTATTGTCTTTCCTATTATACCCTTACTAATCATCTGTATTAGTTAAAACTATCATTTTACTATAAGGACTAATTTAAAAAAGTAGATAAATATGAGAGAAAAAGTAAATTGGATTCTTATATTTAGGACCAAGTTGAATATCAAACTAGTTTTTATATTAAGTATTGAAAATAGTATTTCAAATTTTAATGACCAAAATCAAAATAAAATCCAAGTTTAGACATAAAATAGGGGTTTTATAAAACAGACCAGAAAAAAAAACGCAGAACAATCATATAAATTATGGAGAAGTGAAAAGACGAGTAAGAAAGTGAATAGGCGAGGAATGGTGCATGCAAGACATTCTATTTGATGGTATTGGCCTGCGGTCTTCCCAATCTTTTTTTAAGATGAATAAATTGCTTTGTTTAAGTGAAAGATCACTAATTGCAAGGCGGGGCTCTTGTTATATGCGTGATCATTAGAAATAGTATGTCTCCGTGGTAATTTTTTAGAGGACAATACTTATGGTACATCAAATTATTACTCCTCCAATCCTTAATATATGACCCAATTGTTGAGTTAGTTTTGGTCCTAAATATAAGACCAATTTCTCATATTTATCAATTTTCTCTAAATTACCTCTGTGGATACTCCCTCAACCATAATCAAGTAAAAGAGGGAGATGAGGTATTAAGAAAAATAATTATGGTGTTTTAGGAAAAATGTGTCACTTTTCTTATAATTAACTAACTTACCTAACTTCTTTAATCTAATCAAATTAGTTAAATGGGTCTTATATTAAAGACCGGAGGAGTAGCACTTAATAATATCTAATATAAATTCACATGAAACCAGGAAAAAAAAAACATATGGCTATATGCATTCTTGTCAAACTCATAAGTTGACATTCTGAGTTTAACGTTTTAATGTTTTCTACTTACAAAATCATATCGACTCACTTTTAGACTCGTGCTAGTTGTAAACTTGTTACACTTACGAGTTCACTTATCGAGTTTATTGTTTTTACATTTTTTAACTTACAAAATCGTATCAACTCACTTTTAAACTAGTGCTAAATTTTTAAATTTATTTATATTTATTGACTTTATATATGAATTTCATCGGAATTTCTTTATTGAATATGGTAAATTGTCAATGTCAATGAATTTAATTTCAAGTATTTGAATTTAAAATATATTTAACAAAAATTGTTATTATCTTTTATATTTTAATTATTTAATTGTATACTTTTAATATCAATTTATTAATAAAAATAAATTCTGATAAGTTTATAATTGGAGTTTACAATATGAATTTATATTCTTATCACAGGCTTGCTCAAACTCGTGAATTTGACAACTTTGACTATATGTTATCAGAAAACTTAATATATTGAATATAAATAACTTGACTAAAAATTTTTCTTTTTTAAACAATTATTTCCTCGGGTATTAAATATACAACAAAGTTGATAAATGTGATTCGATATTAGA